AAAAACTCCACATTTAGAGCTCCTTATTGACAGTTAAACTCAATATAATTCCCGATAGTTGTGGCTCTCGAAAGCTATCTATAAGGTGCTTACTTCTTGAGTGTCCAAAACAGCTCCACTTTTGCAATTGACTGGATTGTTCGCCGCCAACTCTTTTCACTCCATACAGCTGATTCTTCAGAAACAAAAACAATCTTACCAAACCTTCAATTGGAGATTTAAACCATCTTGTCTTTGACCATCCATCATCCAGCCTCGGGAATATGTACCAAACCCTTCTCGCTGACATTGCTGCAACCCGTTATTACAGTAAAGCTGCACAACCTCTGATCAATCTGCCTTATCGTAGCACCCATTCACGTCCCCTGGTATGCACGTATGCACAAGACTATACAGATAACTACACACAGGCACGATTAAAGTGTCCATGGCCAAACATTCAGGCTTCTAAGGGCTACATATGATGGGGTGTCCGAATATTTTCGGAGAGCTAACTGTTATGCCATCAGCTGACTGAGAAATTCTATTCCCAAAAGAATAGCAGTAGGACGGATCTAACAAATACATGCACAGGATGACAGAGAAAAGCGACTGCTCTTTTTGTCACTAGGATTTCTTTATGGTCGTTTGTGTATTTGTTGGTCCACAATAACCACTGTGTGCGTCTGCGTTTGCGTACTTTATGCTATAAAATGTGTCTAGACATTTATCTACACCTGCATATTCACAGTGAAACTTAAACAAGTGTAAAAGCTCAGACACGTTAGTTGGGAAGATAGTCAAGCCAGTGCCAATCAAGGGACTTGGCTCTTCTATTGAGTGAATATTAGGAATACATTTATCTCCAACTCCAGCAGGTCCATCTTTCATCTGACCGCTACTTAGCATACCCTCTATCCTACTCTACAGGGCCTTCAGTGCTCTCTCCTCTGTGGCGATCTAAGCTCCACCCAACGATTTTGCCTCTACCTCCCTCCTTTCATCTCTCCTTCAACGTGGATTCTACTCTTGTGGCCATTCTCCCTCTTTCACACGATTCTCTAGACGGATGACGGAGCGAGCACGCCAGATGCTTCTGGTGTCGCCTGGCTTTCGTATGTCACCCCGACTCTGCTGAATTGTGACGACTCCTTCGCCAATCGCTCGGACCTAGGCGAGATTGAAGATGACACTACTGAGGCCTCGGGGACTCTAGCAAGTCCGACGATATCCTATGCTGCTTCGCCTACAGGGAATATTCTTGCCTTCGATACTGGCACCACGATTGATGCAGCTCAATTCCTCCTACCGGTGTATGCGGATGCAAGCGAACAAGCTCTTCCGGATCTATATGATAGAGTAGATGGTGATTTGTTCATAGATCTTGCCACTGCTCCTTTACAACTCTCAGCCCCTTATTCGGAAGCTGAGAGCCTCCTTTCTTGGACTAATGAATCTAAGCTTGTGAGAGCGGAGGCAGATGTCTCGTTGGTGACCAAAAAACAGAGTGAACCTGAGGAGTATTGGGGAGAGAAAGCTGTATGCACTGGAATATCAGCCCTATTTTCAGGCAGGCAAACTAATCTCTCTATCGCCGCTGTCCATGAGTTTTACCCAGATGAAAATCCATCTTCACATCGAGTTATAACAGATGACACTTTAACCTTTCACTCTTCAGTGGATCAGGACGAAGAGCTTAAAGAGTTTCAGACCGTGCAAGAGGAATCCACATCCCTGACCCCTACCTCTGATAAAGCATCACTAATCTTCATTTCTGAAGCCAATCAGCATAACCATTTTCTGGAGACTTCATATGAACTGCGTGAAGTCTCTCTAGAGAATTGTACCTCAATCACCAAAGCCG